CATTAGAAAGTAGCCTAAAGAACTTCAAAGTACTGAATTCACAAAAAACTTCAGCAGGTCAGTGAAACCAGGAACATCAATGACCTGAAAGGAAAACTTCTCAGAGGCACGTGACGTAAAAAATAATTTAGACACCGTATACCTTAAAAAAAACCCTCTCTAATTTTAGCAATATAAGAATTCTTCTTAAACATAGGTTTACCTGTGTTTTTCAATGTCACACAAGATGCACCATATAAAGCCAAAATTAAATGATTCTTTGTTGATGGCAGTTTCCTTCCAAATATTTCTATTTGAAATTAACATTGAATTAATTGTATCAAGCCCTGAAACACTATAAAGCCATCAGAGTCAATTCAAAACAATACAAAAAGTGGTCTAACCATCCACACTAGAAAAACAAAGTGATATAAAACATACTGTGTAGGCTATAAGAGACATCTAAGGAGGTAGCTCATTAAATTAGTACAGAAATATGTATATATTTCAGATAGGAATTTCATAGGGACAATGAATTGGCCACAGAATTGAGTAGAAACTGAACTGGATCAAATTTCAATTGTTGCAAATTGCTTGCTACTGACAGAAACATAATAAAGCTGCCTCCAGCCTCAATATTCTACTAAGCCCCACTAAACAGCAAGCCCACTGCCCCTACCTAGCCACTGCTCCCTCCCCATCCCCCAATATCCTAACTTCTTCACATATGCCTCACTGCTGACTAGAACAGGTGTGTCCATGAACTCATATATATCATAGAAATAGCAGGCGTGTCCATGTGATGGGATCCCAGCCACTGCTTCTAGCTAGCCACTGGCCCCAGACCCACCCCTCATATATCCCGCAGAAACTTCAGGTGTGTTCACGCATTCAACCACAACCACATCCATCTAGTCTTAGACAGGATCACAACACTCAGCCAATCAGAAAGTAGAATGTGGGATGTGGACCCCAAAACAATAGAAGGGACTTTCCCTAAGTAGGTACCTTCATAGTAATAGCAAATGCTGTCCCATGAATTTATGACATAGAGGCTTATTATAATATCATTATTATACATACATACATACCCCCCCATGGGTTTTCTGTGTGCATTGTGGAAAATCGCATGCATAGTTCCACTGAGGCTGGGATACCTCCCCTGTTACCTAATCTCTTAGCAAATCTCTCCTGCCTTTTTAATATTCATAATTTCTGTTATGTAATTACATCTTTACCCTATAAAAATCTGTCTTGCTTTCACTAAAGTTGCTGGTTCCTCTTGGAACTTAGCTCACTTCGTGAAAAGTATCAATCTCAATAAATGCTTGGATTAGAGGTGGTCTGACTGAATTCTTTGAGATGGTTCTGCCACAATACATCATGAAGCCACAACACTGCTACAGTAACCCATATCTTTAACAGTAATATACTTTTGGATAAAAATTAAAGACTAATCTAAATGAAATGACAAATAACTCATAGAGCAATGGAAAGATGCAAGATTCATACCCATGGAGCAATGGAAAGATGCAGGGTCTGCACAAGTAGACTGCTTTGTTGTTCAGTCATATCCAACTCTTCGTGACCCCATTTGGGATTTTTTTGGCAGAGATATTGGAATGGTTTGCTATTTCTTTCTTCAGCTCATTTTACAGATAAGGAAACTGAGGCAAATAGAGTTGAGGGACTTGCCCAGAGTCACATAGCTAGTAAGTGTCTGAGGCCAAATTTGAACTCAGGAAGATGGGCCTTCCTAAATCCAGGCCTGGTTATCTATCTACTATTCCACCTAAGTAGATTTTAGTACACTACTAAATATTACATGTTGTTGAGAAATGCCCTTAACTATATATATATACATGTGTAAGTGTGTATATATATGTATATATGTGTATGTGTGTATATACATACATACATACATACACATACATACATATATATGCATGCTAGAAATGGAAGCAGGCTATCATGTTGTTAGGAGAGACAAGAAATAGGTAAGTGACACATTGTTACCCTTGAGATATTAAAAGAATGACAGGAAGGAATAAAATGCATTGAATAAATCTATACAGGATTTAGAGGAATAAATGGACAAGAATGACAAGAATGTCAAAATTATTGAGGGGTTATAATTTTCATTGTAAAATATCCACCAGTGCTGGAAATGTTCATCTCTCAGGATAACTTTAGTCTCTTGTGCTCAAGGAAGGAAACAGAAGATAGACAAGGCAGCCAAGGACTTAAGGTCCAATTTCAGGTTTGGTGCTCGCTTTGTCACAAAAGGGGCCCAGAAGAGCAAGAATTTTCCTACAGCTTTTATAGCCACAGTCACAGAATTACAGCACCAACAAAGAGCTGCTGGTTGCACTAGTCTTTTAGCAAGGGGCCAGAGTACAGTTCTCATTGGAAGGAGTCAGAACTCATTCCCAGGCCCACAGGAAATGCTGTAATTCCACCCTCACCATAATACATGCCTAGAGCAAGCAGATTTGAACTGTGGAAGCAATGAAAGGTGAAAACTTCTCAGAAGTGCTACAGATTTCCAGAGGATTGTATGTCAATGAAAGCTAAGGTAGGAGGGGAAAGCTATAGAGAAGATGTAGGACTTGGGCTAGAGAATGAAGGAGTAGAATTCTAGGAAGTGGAGGACTTGAAGACATTCTTGGTAGGAAAAATGGTTTGAAGACAAAAAAAGAATGTATAAAGAACCATAGTGAAACTAGTTTGAATCACAGTATTTCTATAGAAAAGTTAGTGGGAGATATGGTTGCAGTGGAAGAGGCTAGGTCATGGAAGTCCTTGGATGCCAAGATAAGGAATTATTTCTTTTACTGTAGGAAATCAGGGGTCACTGAAAAATTTTGAGCAAGATAACCTGTTTTGTAGGAAAACTAATCATATAAGAATATGCAGGATAGTTTGAAAGGCAGGACTGGAGGCAGGGAGATCACAGAATCACATGTTAGTGTTTGAAGGGAAATTATGAGATTATTTGGTAAAACTGCTTCATTTTACTGGGGAAAAAACTAATCTAATCCTCCGTTTCTTTATGGATCATATGGGCATACTAATGTGTTTATACTGACTTCCTCATGGAGTGGTTCTGAGAAAAGTGCTTATGAAGCTTAAAGTATTTTCTAAATGTAAGTGATCATTATTGATAAATGATTGAATACAGAGGATAAAGTAGTTAAAGGTGATCTAGGGATTTGGAGCCTAGAGAATAGTGATATCAGTACCAGAAAAGGGAAAGTCTAAGAAGGGTGCTGATATTGTTTGGGGAAAATAATCAATTAGGGTTTAGAAATGTTTAGTTTAAGTTGATTGCAAGACAAAGTGGAAAAGTTCAGCAGGCAGTTGGAAATGAGGGATAGAGAGGTTAAAGATAAAGATTTTTAAAATTTCATGTTGGTATTCATGTGAATACATATTATTACTAACAGTAAAAGGTTCTTTATAGATGATGATAATAATATATGATATATTTACATAATACTTTAAGGTTATAAAACTTTTTATACACAGTATCTCATTAACAGTAACAATACCTAACATTTATATATCACTTACTATGTGCCAGGCACTTTACAATTATTATCTCATTTGAGTCTCACAATAGCCCTGGGAGGTAGGTGTTATTCTCCCCATTTTACATATGAGGAAACTGAGGCAAACAAAGAGGTTAAATGACTTGCCCAGGATTATACAGCTAGTGACTGTTTGGGATTGGATTTGAACTCAGGTCTTTTTGACTCTAGGCTTGGCAGTCTATCCACTGCACCATCTACATATACACACACACACACACACACACACACACATATATATATATATATATATATGCCTTAGATCCACACAAACTTGTGAGGTGTATACAGCAAACAGTTTTATTCCTATCCTATAGATTTTGAAACTAAATTTCGGGGAGATTTTGTGATGCAATTTTTCTCCCCATTTGATGATCTCTTTTCTTATTCAATTCACAAAGATGCACAAGTCTTTATATGAAATGTAACATATATGTTGCATAAGCAAAATAAGAGCAGATACAAATAATTTACATTGTTTTCCTTGGTGGTAGTCCAGATTTTTCGATTTGTCCTGTTGCGGTCTAGGAGCCCCAAATGCAAGGGTACAGGCAAGGGTCTGCCTAGAAAGAATTCGAGCACTCAAGCCTTTCAGTCCAAGCAGGGAGTTCATGGTAGCACCAACAAAAGCAAGACAGAGTGAGTCTATGCTACTTGTGACTCTAATACAAGGTGGCCAGATTTTAAGAATCTGAGCCTTAGATGAGGATAAACCTGATATTTTTATACTGAAAGACTGTGGGAAGATCTGGATGAGATTTAGGACTGGCAAATAGCCTGGGGTGGTCTAGAGGTAACCAAGAAAAGGGCTGGGATGGGATTAAGGAGCGTCAAGTATGCTAATTAAGTAATCAAGGTGAGCTGGGGTGGGCAGATGCCTCAGGCGAACCCCCGGGATGTGGCTGCGTGGGAACGTCCAGGGCCTTTTGGTGGTCGGTAGTAGTGCCCCAGCAATCCGAGGTCACACAGATGGCTGAGTCTTCTAACTTGAACAAGCCCTGCGCCCTTTTCGTTAACAGGCTCCAACAAACATTAGCTACTGAGGTCAGCATGATAAGGAGAAGATTGGAGGAGAGCTGCTGGAGGATGCCATGTAGTTCAGCCCCCTTGTTTGAAAGATGAGGGAACTGAGTCCCAGAGGTTTAAGCGACTATCTTGCCCAAGGTCAAATCTTTTAATTCTTTGTTTGCCTCCTTAAGACGTTCAAGGAAAAAGGAAGAAGTGGATCCGTCCAGCCGCAGGGTCCATGCAGAGACCTCAAACCCAGGACGCTCGCCTCCTTTCCCCGCCCCCCACCACGCCAGGCCACTTCCTCCTCCCATTCCCCGCCCCGCCCCCACTTCTCCTTTCTGTCTTCCTCTCCTCCTTCCTCTCCCCGCGAGAAAAAAAATCCCAGAAACAAACTTTCAGGCCGATCATGTGCGCATGCGTAAGACAGCAACGGAAGCGAGCGCTCTTTCGGGCTGTTAAAGCGCCGGGGTCACGGGGTCAGCCCGCGGAAGATGGCGGCGGCGGCGGGGACGCTGACCTTCGGTCGCTTTCTGGGCCGCAGCCTCGGGGCCGCCCGGGGCCTCTCTGCGGCCGTCAGGTGTTTTGGTGTGAAGACATCGCCCTCGGGGGAGAAAATTACCCACACGGGCCAGGTAACGGGGGAAGGAGGAGGAAAGAGGGTCTCTCGCCCTTTCCCACCAGCCTCTCCGATGCTGAGGCTTCTTGTTCCCACTCAGTTTTCTCGTGGACTCGGGGCTGTGGCGGGGCGGACAGACTGTGTGACCTTCCCTCCCTCTGTCCCGGTCTTCTCTCTCCTCTCCCTTCTCTCCCTCACCTCTCTCCTGTGCTTTTACCTTCTCTCTTCTCCCTCCTTTTTCTCTGCTCCCCTCTCCCTCCTCCCCTCCCCCGTCCCCCACCCCCAACGTACACATTTTTTGTAGCTCAGGACGGGTCCGGGACCTGTGGGCTCCCAGGGTCGTGCCGAGTCCTTTCTAACCCGTACGCTGACACGGCCTTATCCCATGCTCCCTCCTTTAGGGTAGCCCTGCCATGTCCTGGAGAAGGACATCCATCCTCTGCTGATAGATGTCAGCCTTCCTCTGTTTTACGCCTTTTGGCATTCGGTGGGACCCCGGTTTTGTTTTTAACTTGTTTTGTATTCCCAGCAGTGCCTGGCATGTAAAAGCTCTTAATATGGCTTGCTATCTTCTTAATTATCTTCTATTCCACTTTTTGTTAAAAAGCAAAGTGGATTACCTTGGTCAGTGTGAAATACATACAAGCTTGATCAGAGTTAAAGATCATTTTGTTTAAGGAAGGAATGTTATTCCTCTTCTGTGCTGTGTCCCTGTTAAGAATTTAAATGCTTTCGAGGCTCAGTTATTGAAAACTCTTAGAGTTGATTTTGAATTTAGCAGCAAAGTAAAATGGATAAGCTGTTTAGGTCTAGGTTTGTCGTATTGTAAAAAGTGTCACACGTAATTGTAATATTCTAATCTTTGATGCCCCTTCTATCCCCAACATTCTGATATCTTTTGTCCAGTCATTTTGATTATGATGGAACAGCTTCACATAAAAACACATTTAGTCTTCCTTTGAAAAATTTTTAAAATTTAGTTTTATTGTGGGTGGTGGAAGTTTGAGTAAGTCACCTGACCTATAGGTTAAAAGTATAAAATCTAGGTGTTTAAAATATAAGAAATTGAAATTCATCATTTGAGTTATTTTGACTGCATTCATTAAGTCAACTGTGTAATGGAAGTTGCCTGTCCAGTAATAAAAATTATTTATAAATGTTTAGACAAAAAATAAACATATAAACAAAATATATTCTCTAAAATTTGCAAAGGATTTTACATATATCTCATTTTATCCTCACAACAGCCCTGGGAGGGAAACACTGTCGTTATCCCCATTTTACAGAACTTAGGCAGAGAGATGAAGTTATTTACCCAGAGTCACACAGCTGGAAAAATATATGAAACAGAATTTAAGCTTACTCCAGGCCCAGCACTGTATCCATTGTACCATTAAGAGTATATTGCAACAGAGGCAAACAGTATGCACTTCAAAATGGTGTTTATCTTCAACCTATATGCCTGTAATTACGGATTTCCTCATTTTAACTTACTTGGTTAAGTAACTGTGTCCAAATGTCAAAGGAAAGCTTCCTTAAACTGCAATATTTATTATTGATGTGTACTTTTTAAAGGACAGTTTTGTTCTTCGTTTAGATTAGAATGGAGAAGTCATTGTTTTAACTATTTAAGTAATTAAGTTCATATTAAGAAAACATCGAGGCCAACTAGGTGGCACAGTGGATAGAGCACTGGTCTTGGAGGCAGGAGGACCTGAGTTCAAATGCAGCCTCAGACACTTGACACTTATTAGCTGTGTGACCCTGGGCAAGTCACTTAACCCCAGTTGCCTCGAAAGAAAAACAAAAAACAAAAAAAATCATCAAGGATCATTTATCAAATAACATACATGAAAGTGTTCTAAAACAAAATTAAAGCAGTGCTATTGATATCTGGTTAGTCAAAGAAGCGTATTATAATTCACTTTAGTGTCTACTTTGACAAGCATGCTTAAAATAAGACAAAAATTATTGTTTTAAAGGATAAGCTATAAAAGTAAAGCACAATTTTTTTTAAAGGTTTATGATGAAGAAGATTACAGGAGGATTCGCTTTGTTGGTCGCCAGAAAGAGGTAAGCTTATATCTTTCAGAAGAGAGTTAAGCCTTAATAAAACTAATATGACAAGAGAAATGAAATACATATGCACATTTAAAGAGGAATACAGAAAGTCTTAAGATCATCAAATTTCTTAAATTATATATTTCTTCAGAGTGTTAAATGTGATCTTCTTTTAGGGAGTGCAAAATCTGTGATGCCACAATTTTTGTTTTTGAAATGTCTAAGTGGCTACATTGTTAACTTGAAGAAAAATAATTATGTTTCACTTAGAAATTGAAATCACTACTTTCTTTACCCCATGCAAGGTTTTTCAAGTCCACAAATTCTATTGCTAATTTTTTTTTTGTTAAAACCTGCTATTTTAGTTATCTAATGGAGTGTGACTTTTTTTTTTAGCTCCTCTTAAATAAGTTGGGTTGGTTTGTTATTTGGATGTAAGGACTCTGTTAGATACTAGAAGTAGTTTATGAATCATTCTTTCCTGAGGTCTAGACCAAATTAATGTGACAAGTTAGAGGTAAGTTCTCATTTTATACATAACTAGTACTATTTCTTGTCACCAGCGAGTGAATTTTAGGGTTGGGCATGGGTCTTGCTTCTTAACTCTCCCCTCTGACTGTTTTATTTCAAGTGACAATAATATTCTTTACCTAAATGTTCTTCTGCCATTGACATATACTGCTACCCTGCTTCTCAACCTGTAGCTTCTCTCCTCCCCATATATACTTGAGCACAGGGACTGTTTAGTTTTTGTCTTTGTATCTCCAGCACCAGACACAGTGCCTAGCACACAGTAGGCACTCACATGTTTGTTTAATTCCTTGTTTTAAAGAAAGGCTTTAACCTTGTTACCATTTGCCACTTTCATTCTAATTTATTTACAACCTATCTCTTTTTAATCTTTATCAGTCCAGCTTTTTGTTCTCTCTAGTACATCTGGAATCCTTCTGTTAAACTTCATCCAACCAATTAACTTACTTCTGGTTACTCTTCACACGATGCCTAGCTTGGACTTCATGACTATTACCATACTTCTGCCTAATCTGCCACCCTAGAGTTCTTTGCCATCTTGAGCTGCTTTATCCATTCTGACTTTAGGCCACAGAGTGTCATCACTGGAAAAGGTCACAGAACTATACAGACCTGGACTCATATAGATTCATACTGTATAGATTTATCTGGGTCCTTAGCGGTTTCTGTTACTCATCATTTCTTGATTCACTGTCAAAGTTTAACTGTAGCTGTTAAAAATGTCCAGTTCTACTCTTCTCAGCCCCTCAACTCTTCTAGTGATAGAAGTTATCTAGCATGACCTTCCCCCTTCAACTTTTCTGTTTACCTTGCAGTATCTGTCTCTTTTTGGTCATATCAGGGAGAGAGAATACATAATATAGAACCTACTGTGTGTCAGGCATTGTGCTAAGGGCTTTACAAAAATTATCTCATTTTGATGCTCACAGCCACCCTGAGAGGTAGATGCTCTTATTATCTGAATTTTACCAATGGGAAAACTAAGGCAGACAGATTAAGTGACTTGCCCACATCTAGAAAGTGTTTGAGGCTGGTTTTGAAATCAGGTTTTTGTAACTCCAGGCCCAGTACTCTGTCCACCTAGCTGCCTGGTCAAATAGCTTAGCGGTCAAATAGCAGGCATTTATTAGGCACTACTATATACCAGTCATTTGTGATGTGCTGGAGATAGAGAAAGTAGGCTTTGTCCTCAGGGAGCTTGTGTTCTATCAGGACAGACAAGCATACACACAAGTAAATACAAAATAAATATAAGGTTATTTTTCTTGAGGGGGCGGGGACGCCATAATTGATGGGGATATTTTACCCATTTAACTGTCCTAGCTTCGGTGTCATCTATGAGAGTCACCTATCACTTCTAACAGAGTTAAATAAGTCAGTGCCATTCAGGCAGGTGATTGCCCCATGCCCCTATTCATTTTAATCTCAGACATCAAAATAGCTTATATTTTTAGGATATTAGGGATAAACTTACATATGTGTTTCAATCCATGTGACAATCTTTGTGCATTATACAAGCCAGGTGATCAGTTGATTAGGTAACTATGTGGACAGCTGGTTAGAGTGCTGGGTCTGGAGTCAGGAAAAACTTGTAGAAGATGGCACTGAAGCTGAGTTTTGAAAGAAACTTGGAATTCTAAGAAGCAAAAGTGGGGAGTGAATGCATTCTAGGCATGAGCAATCTGTACAAAGGCATGGAATTGAAAGATGGAGTGACATGTGTGAGAAGTAGCAAGAAGGTCTTTTTAGGTAAACTACAGAGTACGTGAAAGTGAGTAATGTAAAATAAGGCTGGAAAGGTGTGTTGGAATTAGATTATGAGGAGCTTTAAATGCAAAACAGAAGAGTCTGTATTTGTCTCAGATGAAGTATTCCTCCGTTTCTAAGAGTAACTCCTTTACACTTGGGTTCTTGACCCTGTCACCTGTTGCCTACTATGAATCTTGGAAGAGACCACATATAAATAACTTTCTCTAGCATCTTCTGTCTTCTTCCAATTCCAAACATTTATCTTCATTACTTTGAAAAAAATTTGTTTTTATCTCTTACCATAGCTTATCTTCATTGACTTTTCTTTATTCCCCTGTTTCCTGACAGTGTAGGTGTCCAAGGTTTATTTATTGATCTTGTGGTCTCTCTACATTCTATTGGAGAGAGTTATCCCCTCTTTTACATGTTGCATCCATCACTGCCCCACCCTTTTGTCATTCCATGAATTTTAGCATGGTGTATTGTGTGTAGACATCTGGCCTAAGAGTCAAAAAACCTGAGTTCAGGTTCTGTTTTGGCTGGTGATGATCCTGTGCAAGTCATTTAACATCCATATTCAAGGCAATTCTAAAAGTAGATTGTTTCACAATAGTTGATGATTTCCATGGTTGGGCATTTTCTTCCCTGGGAACTCCCTGTGTTGATAAGATCACTGGTTTGCACTTAAAAAGAAGTCATTTCACAATAAAGTCATTCATGGATTGTGACCAAATCTGACATTATTCTCACAAAACTCTAACATAATTCAACCAGTTGCTCATTTATAACCGTTCGTGTCTATATTTTCAAGGAATTAATAACCTTAGGTGAGATATGCTGATTTTCCAACATGTATCTTCAGTTACAGCCCGGTTTTTCTTCTCATTTTTCAGTGTCATTTTTCATTCTTCAAGGTAATGACTTTGAGAGCTGGCCTCAAAGGCAGGAAGATGTGGGTTGAAGTCTTGCCTCTGACACATTGGTTTTGTGACCCTGTGCAGATCACTTAAACTCATAGTGCCTTAGGTTGAGTAAGCTTGCAGAAAAGGTGCAATTCTGAATTGGTAGAGGGAGTTTGCTCACGTAGGATTTGCTTAATATACCAGTGAAATCACAGGTTTAGTGTTCTGTCCATTCCATATTTATTCTTGCTTCTAAACCTTTGCTTATCCTGTTATTCCTTGCCTGGACTCTTTATCTAAACAACTCTCCATGTTTTAAAATTCACCTAGTCCATGAATCTTTTTTCATTTGTTACCCCTATTATACAGATGCAATGTAGGTTAGTAGAAAAACCATTGTATTTGAAGTTGAGAGACCAATGTTTAAATCTTATCTCCGGTACTCAGTAGCTGTGTACAATTCATTTAACCTCTGTGATCTTTGGTTTCCTCATCTGTAAACTAAGGATGATGATCCCTTTTTGTATGTGTCTCACAGGGTTGTTGGGAGGATCAAATGAGATAATATGAGTAAAATCTTTGTAAATCTTAAAGCATTATATAAATGTAAATTATTATTATACCATTCTATAGTAATCTCTGCTTTCTCAATTTTGATAGTATTTTACTGTGCATTCATTTAATACTTGATTACGTACTGCTTGTTTAATATGTATGGATGTTTTATTTTTCCAGTGAGATTTTAAGTAACTGGAACAAAGGCATTTTATCTTGTACTTTGTGTCTCGCATAGTACTTAGCATATTATGCAACACATAGTAGACAATAGAAACTGTGGAATCAATGAATTCTACATCATTTTGGTAACTGGTTTTTGTGTTCCTAAGCATTCTGAATAAGATATGATATGAACTGGTTATTGTTAGTGACTTGCTCTTTTTTCTTACACTTATTCCTATTTGGCCATGTTAATTTGTTGTGTGTGGATGTGGGCATGTGTTTTTTGGAGGCATTCAGATTAAGTGACTTGCCCAGGGTCACCCAGCTAGTAAGCATCTGAAACCGATTTTGAATTCAGGTCCTCCCGACTCCAGGGCTGGTTCTCTATCCACTGTGCCACCTGGCTGCCCGTGTATATATGTTTTAATTAAGTTTTACTGATACAAAACTATTATGACAATGTGGGGAGACTGGGAAAAAAAAAACCAAACACCTTAGCCTCTTTCCCTTGCTTTATATAGCACTGTAGTTAAAATCACTTTGCCGCTGAGCTTGTTTCCTTGTCTGTAAAATGGAAGTACTGATTGATATTTGTAAGATCTCTCAGTAATGTGAGGAAAGCATTTTCCAAAATGATAAATATATTATTATTGTTGTTGTTATTACTGCTACTGTGAATATTATTATTTTTACTACCACCACCATCACCACTACTACTACCATTTCCATTTCAACCACTACTACTGCTGTCACATTTCCTCAGTCTTGTGTGTCACCAAGTACCCACACTGAGAAGATAGTGGAACTTGGGTCAAGTTATGTGCTGCTGCTTGTCTATTTTGTGTCTTCACCCATTTCACTATCTTAGCTCCAAGGTTGCCTATGATAGTCATCTATCACTTATGACAGAGTTAGATAATTCAGTGCTATTCAGGTAGGTGATTCCCCCATTCATTTTAATCTCAAACATCAAAATAGTTTCTATTTTTAGGATATTAAGAGTAAACATATGTGTTTGAATCCATATGACAATCTTTTTGCAGTATAAAAGCCAAGTGATTAGTTAATTAGGCATCTGGTGGTGTAGTGGATAGACTGCTGAGCCTAGAA